TTTATAACCCTTCCTGAAGCTAGGTTAAGCAGTTTACCACAGAACCAGTGTTTTTATTTAGCTGTGACTAAGTTGTTTTCGATATTGTTGCCTTCAAATGGATCAATCGACCTCCGGTTAGTTGGGTAAGTACCACATATACAAACATAGAATATTGTCTCAATAACTTGCATAAACAGTAACACATAAGATGTAAAATTCTTATACAGAAAAGCAAAAACAAAAATAACGAAACAGAACGTAGATAGGTGGGGGAAAACTTTGTTGTCCTTTCATAAGGACATTAGGCATATAGGCAGCTAACATATAATTTTTTACAGAGGCCTGACTTTGCACGAACTTCTCAATTCGTTGGAAGATGAAGAACAAGCCATGTTACGCCCAAATTAAATTAGCAGCGCCCTGTTGCCTCCTACTAATACATGTGACAATGTTTCCGATGAATATTCCGGCGACGAAGATTTTGTAAACGTAAATAAATATTATTATATATATATATAAATTCCTTCTAGTATCACAAAAAAACAATACAACTGAGAAAAACCTAAAGATTTAGTTAGAGAACCAGCCTGTTGGCAGGTCAAACAAGAGATGAAAAATAATCTGACCCGAACCCAATTATTTCGGCAACTCTTTGATGATGACCTCATAGAACTATTTGTGCAGCGTACTAACCAATATGCGTGCAAGAAGAATAAACGTTATAATATATAATATAATAATATAACTTATGAAGAAATCAAGTCGTTTTTCGGAATTCTGCTTCTAAGCGGATACGTGCCAGTGGCAAGCCGCAGAATATTCTGGGAAAACTCTCAAGATGCAAGAAACGAATTGGTTGCTGCCACTATGTCGAGAGATAGATTTGAATACATTATGTCAAACTTGCATTGTTGTGACAATGATGACCTTTTCAAAGGAGACCGGTTTTCAAAGGTGTGGCCCCTTTTCAATAAACTAAATAAACATTTTCAAAATTTTGATTCGTATTGTGCGAACCATAGTGTTGACGAGTCTATGGTTCCATATTTTGGAAAACACGGTTGCAAACAGTTTATCAAATCGAAACCTATTCGCTATGGTTATAATGGTATGGATGGGTGCAACAAGCAAAGGATATTGCATTTGGCTGGAGCCTTATCAAGGAGCAAAAACAAAAATTAATGGGCACTATAAGACGTTTGATCTTGACCCTTCAATTATTTTACAATTTGCGGACGTTTTATCAAACCCGGAATACGGATCACACTCTCTCCACATATTCTTTGACAACTTCTTTACTAATGTACCGCTTTTACATGAATTATATAATAGAAAAAATCGTGCAACCGGAACCATAAGAGAAAACAGAACTTCAAAATGTCCCATAAAATCTAAACGTGAAATGAAAAGGGAGAACAGAGGAGTTTGTGATTTCCGTTCCTTTGACAATAAAGTCATAGTTGTAAAATGGAACGACAATAATTCTGTGAACGTCGCATCTAACAATCTAGGAGTAGAACTATATCAGCAGGTTTCTAGGTACTCACAAAAAGAAATAAAGAGAATCATGGTGAATCAGCCCCATATTATATATATGTACCTATAACTCCTTTATGGGAGGTGTTGATAGGTGCGATCACAATGTGTATCTGTACCGAACAGCAATTCGCGCCAAAAAATGGTACTTTTGCTTGATCGTTTATTGTTTGGACGTTGCGGAACAAAACGCCTGGCATCTTCACCGTCTCCAGGCCCAACCCGATGACGTAAAAATTGATCATTTAAATTTTAGAAGACAGGTTGCTTTGAGTTTGTTAGAAACCAATAAGTGTACCAAAAAAAGAGGGCGCTCTTCATCTTACGAAAATTTGGAATCTAGATTCGACAACCAGGACCATTTTCTTACTAGACAGGAAAAGCAAACAAGGTGTCGAATATGCCATAAAAACCCCAACAGAAGTTCCCATACCGAACAACAACTGAACAAATTGCACTAAGACTAATAACACGAATAAGACACCCCCAAAACCCCCTGCACAACCCTTCCAACCAACTACTATACAAACGCACGAACATGACCAAAATTTCGGAAAGACTAATACACTTACATACAAAATGGACAAACAACCCTCACAACTGGACCATACTGAATCCCCTCTGCCTAACAAGACGGACAGAACATTCCCGTTTTCGTACCCCAACAGATACTTTACTAGAACACCTACAAACGCAACTGAACTAACGACTAAGACC